GACTCCTCATTCCCAGCCTTTCTTTCTCAAATCCTCGGGCTGAAACCAGCTTTAACCTGCACATTCCCTGGGTGTTTTCCACACAAGGGTTAAACCTGGTTGTTAATCCTGGAGCTGAGCTCTGTGTGATGAATCTGAGCACTCTGAGCTCTGGTGAAATGTTTGGCTCAGGGGGGATCCCACATGGATTTAGGGGATGTGGAACTCCAGAATGAGCGTGTTGGGACAATCCCTCTCCTGGAATGATGTGATCCGGGCTCGGGAGGTGGGTGAGGAGAGGTGAGGCTGAGGGTTGGGGCTCATTCCCAACATGGAGAGGGTTGGGAGCCTGGCTCCTGCCGACACTGGTGTCCCCAACACCTCTCAGGTGTCACCAGGAGCAGGAGGTGAAGGATCCACCCTGGCAGCTCCAGCAAGAAAATGACTTTTCCTTCAGGAATAGGGAATGAGGTTTGGAGTGGGACATCAGGACAATCACTTTGGTCCCCCCATGTCACAGCACAAAATCATTTCTCACCCATCTTCACCCTCCTTTATTTAAAAAAAATGTAAATTGATTTTATCTCTCTGCATCATCGATGGATGAGATGTTTTTCCATTGGGAAAAGACTTCCCAGGAAGTTTGTCACCAAGCAGTGGCAGTTATTCAAGGCCACCACCTTGTCCTGCTGTTCCATCCATTAAGTGATGTCATTTAGCTCATTCCATGCAGAAATTTAAATTCCCAGCTTCTTTGCAGGTGGATTTGGAAGCTCCAGCAATGCTGGAGAGCTTGTGCTGCTTAATCCCTCAGAAAACTCTTGTTTTCTCCCTTTGTTCCCCCCCCAAAAAAAAAAAAGAAGAAAGAAATCCATGGCCAAGAATCAATTAAAGACACTCAGAACAAAACAATTTACTGGGATTGAGCGCAGTTCTCTCTGGTTTTATTTGATTGACCCAGACTGACACAGAAATTACAGAAGGTTCCTGAGCTCTGGGGTGGAGATGAAGCAAAAGCTTTCATTTTTAGCATTTTTATAGAGTATTGGTTCTTAATTTTAATGTGTTGAACTCAGCCTTCATTGAGGAAAAAAAAAGGGATTTCTTTCCCAGGAAAAACCAGCTTCTTTGCAGGTGGATTTGGAAGCTCCAGCAATGCTGGAGAGCTTGTGCTGCTTAATCCCTCAGAAAACTCTTGTTTTCTCCCTTTGTTCCCCCCCCAAAAAAAAAAAAGAAGAAAGAAATCCATGGCCAAGAATCAATTAAAGACACTCAGAACAAAACAATTTACAGGGATTGAGCGCAGTTCTCTCTGGTTTTATTTGATTGACCCAGACTGACACAGAAATTACAGAAGGTTCCTGAGCTCTGGGGTGGAAATGAAGCAAAAGCTTTCATTTTTAGCATTTTTATAGAATATTGGTTCTTAATTTTAATGTGTTGAACTCAGCCTTCATTGAGGAAAAAAAAAAAAAGGGGTTTCTTTCCCAGGAAAAGCCTTTGGATTTAAGTAACTTGGTGTGAGAACCTGCAGGAAAATGAGTTTGTGCTTTGATGGTACCATGAAATGAGTTTTTTACCCCCTTTAAAGGCTTTGAGTTGACTCACACTGAGCTGAAGTCAAGTGTCCCTTAGGATTTTGCAGGAGAAGGTCCAAGGATAATGTGGAAAATGAAAAATTTACCTGGAAAACACAACTTGGGCTGCAGTGTCAAGTGACAAAAGCAATGCTGATCGCAGATTCTTATTCCCTGAGATATTTCCACATTGGAAATAATTTATATTTCCATTTATCACATTTTTCAGTCATTGTACCACTCAGGAATTCTGGGGGATTTTCCCTCCCTTTTTTTCCTCATTCATTCCTCCAGGAGTTGCTTTCATGTAGCTCAGGAATTTTTGCTCTTTTAGTGAATTCCTTGACATCTGCCCTAGAGATGGAAATGCCATGGAAGGAACATTTTGGGGAAGGAATTTTCCCTGACAATGTTTTCCATCCTCGGGACAACTGCTGAGGAGCAGGATCAGATCTGATTTGGGGTAAATCCGGTGTAAATCTGGTGTACAGAAAGAGTCAGGGCTGGGGGAGCTTTTTAATTCCATATTCAGTCAGAAATGGTGCTGAGGACAATCAGTGGTGCCCTGCTGCTTCCCAGATCCCTTTTCCTTGGAATCACAGAAGGAATCACGGCATGGGTTGGGTTGGAGGAGACCTCAAAGCCCCACCAAAGCCCCTCAAAGCTCACCACCCTCGTTTTTCCCATTTTTTCTTCCTGGGATCATCTCTTCCCGCCTAAAAGGCTGTAGAACGAGCAGACACCGTGCAGGACAATCATTTTAATTCTCGTTTAGCAGCTGGTGTTGTTATCCAAGGAGTTTTATCCCTGATAATTTATTACCTGAGATAATTCCCATAAAAATCCCTCAACATCCTGCCCAGAGAAGCCATGGTGCTCCATCCCTGGAAGTGTCCAAGTGTCCAAGGCTGGAGCAACCTGGGATGGTGGGAGGTGTGGGGTGGAACTGGATGGGATTTAAGGTCCCTTCCAACCCAAACCATTCCATGATTCCATAATTCCCAAAGGATTGGAACAACACAGGGATGGATGTTGGAGTCTGGACCGTTCCAAGGACAAACTCTGCCCTGGCTGCCACGGGGGACACAGCGAGGAGCGGGATAATTAAAATAATAATAATTGAAAACCACTTTGCCATCCAACAAACGCCCCTGTTGTTTTAGTTGCTCATTAGTTAATTTCCTTCTAACGAGGCTCCGTTAACGCAATCATCTGACATTGGGGGGAAAGAGGGAGAGCGGGGAGGGGAGGACCCCAGTTAAAGGAGCTTAATTAGCGAGTTAATTATAGCGAGCAGGGAAATGTTCTGGTTACATAAATAAGGCATTGTTATGCACACACCAGCCAGGCCACGTTCAAAACTGCCGCGGAGCTCCGGAGGTCAGGGAACGCTGTAATTCCACACAAAACACAGGCGGGAATTGTTTGTCGGGACGCCTCATTAAGTCCTGGGGTCTGCCAAAAAACCAAAAAACAACCAAAAAAAAAGTCTGAAAATCCAACTGGTTCCCTTCGCCTCCCGCCCTGGCTGCCTCCGCCTGCGGTGAAACCGGAGCGGGCAGGATCAGCGGGATCGGGATGGGCTGGCGGATATAAATGGGGCATTCCCTGCTCCGGAGGGAGCCGCGCCCGGGGGCAGCCGGCGGGGCCACCATGCCCAACAAGAAGAAATACAACGTCAACGGGGAGTCAGCGGGGATGAAAGCCCAGGTGAGGGCACTCTTCGGGACCGTAATGGTGGTTTTTCTACTCAAAAGCGCGATTGTTTCTCTGTTACCTCTCTCTTCTTCCTCCTTTCCTCGCTGTTTCCACCCAATCGCTTATTCCTGGAGCTCCTCGGCTGGAGAAAATCCCAGTCTCTGGAGAGCTTCCCTTAATTTTCTCTTGGGAACGATGAAGAGTCGAGGCAAACACGTTGGTCTGGGGTTGTTCTTCTGTCCGGAGGAGTTGGTGGGGTCGGCACGGGGAAGTTTTCCAGGAAAACCTTGGATAAGCAGACCTTTTTGTGCACGGAGAAGTAGCTCGAGGTGGCTCTTTGTGATGGAAACCGCAGGTCAGATGAGCAGTGCCTCATTTGGAATGTAAAGGTGAAACCTCACCTGCATTCAGCACTCATTAACCCCTTGTGCCCCTGCAGGTGAGGTTTTCCATCGGGAATCATTTGTTCCTGCTGGAAGTTGAAAGCACCAGCTCTTCTGTCACTTCAATGCAGCTTGGGCTCCTAAATCCAAGGAACTGCAGCTCTCCAAAGCTCCACAGCTTCTCCTTGAAGCTGTTGCCTTCAGAGGTGTTTTGGTGGGAGCTGACTGAGCCAAATCTCTCTTTTCATCCCGTCTGGAACATTCCCATCTTCCCAACTGAGCTAGAACGCAGCTCTTGTGGGTTTGGCAGGGATTGGAGCAGCCTGGGATAGGAGAAGGTGTCCTGTGGCAGGGGTTGGAACTGGATGATCCTTAAGATCCCTTCCAACCCAAACCATTCTGGGACCCTGTGAAATTCCTTTTTGCCCACTCTCTCTATTCCCTAAAGGATTAAAGTCAAAGGACGTCGGCCAACACAAGCCAAAAGCAGATCCGAGCCTTGACCTGGCCCCTGCCCGAATTTCCCTTTCCTGGTGCTTCCTTCCACCTCCTGGCTGTCCCAGCTAAAGCTGAACCCAGCTGGTGGCAGTGTTAAGGGGTTTAAACCTTAGAGGGTTTATTTAAGTCTGTTTCTAATTCTGCCTGATTCGGTTCAGGACTTCTTTTGCTTCGTCGTTTACTTGGATTTGGATGTGTGAGGGCCCAGGGAGCTCTGAATTACCAAGATCACTTCATTGTGTGAAAAGTTGTGTTCGATGTCCTTGAAGAGGTGATGTGGGAAAGGGAGATGTGAATTTAACCCAAATTATTCCCCCTTTGTTAGAATCCCTGTGTGTCTCCAGCTCCGCTTCATGCCAATAACCTCCTCCTGTGATGGAGCAGCTCAGCCGTGGAGGGATTTGTTCTAATTTAAGGGAAGAAAAAGGACAAAAAAGCAAAGTTATTTCAGGCCAGCAGCTTCTTAGAGGAGGAACATAAACCCTGGTGTGTGTGCAAAGCCCCCGTCCCGCCGGGATCAGGGCGTTAATCCTGGCACAGCCCTGGCTGTAACTTGAGTTTGGTGTGGATTTTCCCTTCCCATGGGTGTTCTTGATCCGGTGTCGTTCTGTTGTGTACTCCTAGAAACTTGTATTCTCCAGCCATCTGTGCTCCCAAAATTCAACAGCCTATAGCGACATCTGTAATCTTGGCTGGAAGAACTGAAATTAAATAAAATGCAGTTTACCATATCCAGTCCCCATTAAATAACAGGAATTGTGCTCCAGGCCATGACTGAGATAGTGCCGGTGTCTGCTCAAGGCCTTGGGTTCTTGGGATTGATCTGCTGGGTTTTTTACAGAAAATCCCTGATTTCTTTCCACAGATCCAGTTTGCTGACCAAAAGCAGGAGTTCAACAAGCGCCCGACCAAGATCGGCCGCCGGTCGCTGTCCCGCTCCATCTCGCAGTCCTCGACAGACAGCTACAGCTCAGGTGTGTCCAGGCATCTCCCACGTCTGCTCTGGGCTCAGAGGGAAGGCATGGAAATAGGGTTTTGCTTTTTTCCTCCTTGTCCTGTATAGCTGGATGGAAAATCAAATTATTCTGGTGCTCTTCTGCTCCATCCTTATAACGCAGCGTGCAGCTGCTGCTGCCTTGCCTTCCATTCCCTCCTCTCCTCCCTGTCCTGATCCTCCCAGGACAACAGTGTTTCCATGTTTTATTCCTGCTTGAGTATCACAAATCCACGGGGGGTTTGTTGCACATGAGGTTGGAGTCTTTGGGGACTTTGAAGGGCTCTTGGAAGAGGTTTCTCCTGCTGTAATCTTGCTGGATGGATTTTTGGGATACTTGGCAGCTCATGATGTATTTGGGGAGAAGAATCTGGGTGGTTTCAGGGACCCAGAGCTCAGTCTCATTCCAACCTCCTGCCGTGGTCAAGGACACCCTCCACTAGTCCAGGTTGCTCCAAGCCTCATCCAGCCCAGCCTCAGAGGTTCAAAGCTCTGATTCAGCTCTGTCCAGTGTGGAAAACCTCAGGAAACTCCAGCTCCAGCTGCTCCTGATGGCTCATGGCTGGTGGCTGCACACAGACCTGGCTGGTGGCCAGAAGTCCTCCTAGCTGGGAACTCTCCTTGGTGTTTCTCCACTCATTCCCACGATGCCGAGGATGTCGGAGATGAGCTGGGACAGGACGGGGCTGGAGCTCTTGGCATTCCTCAGCAGGTTTGGAAGAGCAGAGCTGGAAAAGCCGTGGTTATCTGGTCACTCAGCTCCTGGCAGAGCTGCTCCTCTCCAGAAGATGGAGGTTCTGATTTACAGGGAATAAACCAGTTTTGGGGGCCTGTACCAGGCTCAAGCTGCCCCTATTTTGCCCTTTGTGATGCCAATTCAGGCAGCCATGAGTAAACCCTTACCTCAAATATCAGCAAAGTCAGACTTGGCTGAGTTTAGGCTCTGACCCGGGCTTTGCTGGGGCAGGACATGGATGGAGACCTGAGACCTGCTGCTTTTCTGTTGTTCTCTTGGAAACCATGGAATTGTGGAATATCATGAGTTGGGAAGGACCACATGGATCCTGGAGCCCAGTAATCTGCATGTAATACATTGATAATGGAAATCAAGGAATCCTGGAATGGTTTGAGGGGAAGGGACCTCAAAGTCCACCCAGTGCCACCCATGCCGTGGGCAGGGACACCTCCCACTGTCCCGGGCTGCTCCAAGCCTTCTCCAACCTTGGGCACTTCCAGGGATGTGGAATCCTCAGCCTCTCTGGACGGAGACACAAACACGTAACACAAATGATCCAACTTAGGTTTCAGTTTTCCATAGCTCACAGAATGCCAAGCCCAGGGAGGAAGTTTTCATTCATCAACTTTGGGGAATATTTTTATGAAACTGTCCCATCAGTTAATCACAGGAATCCTTTCCTTTCAGACCTTGTTTTTTATTTTACAGAGAAGCAAAGGCAAAATTGACTTTTAGAGGTTTGGTTTGCTGTTATATTAACTATCAGCATTCATTTGATTACCGTAATTATATGTATACTTCTGTATTTTAGATTTATTTAATAGTATAAAACCTCCTGCCTATGAAAATCTGGCTACTCCAGGCAGGATTTTTTTTGTTCAAAAAAAATTACTTTTAACCCCTGGAACCAAAACTCCCTGGTTTTAAAGCAACCTCTACACAGATTAACTCTCTTCAAGGAACTAATCCTCCTCCAACTAATTAATCCTTCCTCCTGGAGCCCTTGACATAGAGCTTGGCTTTATGTAAGGTGCCCTTTGTGGTTAATCCGGGCTCCTGGTCCCTCGGGATCTGCTGTGGGATTGGGAGCAGAGCGGGAGCCCCGCTGCCCTCGGGGGTTGTTGGCAGGGTGGGACTCGCCCTTCGCCCCCTGCCGAGGATGGGGAGAAATTCCAGCAGTGCCTAATTCCCTCCTAATTCCCTGGGATGGGGAGCTGGGCAGCTCTGGGGGAGCCTGGCACACCCACGGCGCCCAGGCTGAGCTTTTTCCTTGGAATCCTGGAACCCTTCCCGCGAGCCAGGGGGGAAAGCTTGAGCTTGTTGGGTCCTGCAGGAGACACAACCCCATGGCCAGTTCAACTCCTTTTTTTGGGTTTTTGGTGTGGAAATGTCACTGGAGCCGATCAGGGTAGGAGATTGTTGGATTTACTCTGAGCGAATGAAGGAGCTGTTGGAATCCAGCCCCACTCAAGGCCTGGATGCCACTGGAATGCCACTGGAATGCCACGGCTCTCTGGGAATGCTGCTGGGATCAGCACTGCGAGAACCTCCCAGCCTTCCTGCTGCCCCATTCCCTTGGTGCAGATTTGGGAATCTTGACTGTTGGCCGGAGCAGCTCCCATGGCTTCCAGAGGCCTGTGGGGATGTGGAAGGAGGAGTGTCCATCACCATGTCCATCATTCCCAGAGATCCAAAATATCAGCCAGCTCCACTGGGGCCATCATGGATGGAGCTGTTCCACCACGGAATTCCTCTGGGCTGGACACAAAATCATTGGATGCCAGGCCCCAGGTTCAGTTTACAAGCACCACATGAGCTGGAGGGGAAGGACTTGGAGCAAAACAATTCCTTAAGGAATGAGGGAATGGCCAGTTAGGTCCTGGAAGGGTCACCTGGCAATGAAGGACTCGGAGCAGGACAATTCCATGAGGAATACCAGAATGGTCAGCTGGGTCCTGGAAGAGTCACCTGGAGAGGAAAGAGGAGCTGGGATTTGGAGCTCATTGCATTTCTCTGGCTCCTGGTGCCAGTCCTGGAAGATGGAAGAAGAGGTTTGGTTTCCCACAGTAGGGAAGGATTCCAGAGAATCCAAAAACGTGGCACAATCCAAAATCCGAGTTCCAGAAAATGTGGCACAAAGGATTCCTTCAGCTGATCCAAAGTGGTGGTTGATCCATCACGACTCCAATCAAAAATGGATGTGATTTTATTCAAGTACACAGGATTTTAGGAATCCAACGGGAAAGGGGATTTCTAATTCCATGAAGGGCTCTTCCATGTGTCTGCCGTGGTCTAATTCCATAATCAAAGGTCCTGAGGACACTGATAAGGAAGGAAGACAATTATTGACAGCTTCTGGAATTATGGTCAGTTGGGTCCTGGAAGAGTCACCTGGAGAGGAAAGAGGAGCTGGGATTTGGAGCTCATTGCATTTCTCTGGCTCCTGGTGCCAGTCCTGGAAGATGGAAGAAGAGGTTTGGTTTCCCACAGTACGGAAGGATTCCAGAGAATCCAAAAATGTGGCACAATCCGAAATCCAGAAAATGTGGCACAAAGGATTCCTTCAGCTGATCCAAAGTGGTGGTTGATCCATCACGACTCCAATCAAAAATGGATGTGATTTTATTCAAGTACACAGGATTTTAGGAATCCAACGGGAAAGGGGATTTCTAATTCCATGAAGGGCTCTTCCATGTGTCTGCCGTGGTCTAATTCCATAATCAAAGGTCCTGAGGACACTGATAAGGAAGGAAGACAATTATTGACAGCTTCTGGAATTAATTCAGCACATCCACACCCTCTCTTACTGCAGAGCCTTAATCCCATCCCGAGGGGCTCAGGACAGGATCCGGTGATCCCTGGCTTTCCAAACCATTCCCAAAATCCCCTGAGGATGGGGAGCCAGCAGCTCCCTGGACAATCCACACCAGGCTTGTGGATTATCCTGATGGAGAAGTTCCTCCAAGCACCCCACATGAGCCTCCCAAGCAGCACCTCATCGTCACTGTGAAGGAACACCAAAATGGAGCAAATCCAAGGATTGGGAATCCCACAGGAACGGGATAATCATCAACTCACACCCTCCCCCTGACTGTTTGATATGAAATAGGGTCTGACATTACAATTCCTACTGGCTTGGAAGTGCTCTAAACCTCAGCAGGCATTTTGTGGGATGTGTTGGAGCTGTGGAGGCCTGAATTTTGGGAAGAGAGGTGGGAAAACGTTTGGGGAAAGAGAGGTGAGAGAACGTTTGGGAAGAGAGGTGGGAGAACTTTGGGGAAAGAGAGGTGGGAGAACAGTTGGGAAGAGAGGTGGGGGAATTTTGGAGAAGAGAGGTGGGAGAGCTTTGGGGAAAGAGAGGTGGGTGGGAGAACTTTGGGAAGAGAGGTGGGTGGGAGAAGTTTGGGAAGAGAGGTGGGAGAAGGCCATGGAGATGAGTCCCTGTGGGAACCAGGCAGCGCTCAATCCCATCACCTCTGCTGTGGTGTTGAAGTCGAGGTCGATGGGAATTAAAAATTCATCCCAGGTAAATCCAGCTGGGAAAATTACCCTTGTGAGGAGAAGGAGAGATCCCAGCTGGGGATGGAAGGGGCTGGGATGGAAGAATATCCATCCCTCTGGGGGCCACCCACACCCTTCCCTGTGGGTGCTGGGGATTTCGGGAATGTTCTACCCCGTTCCTGAGCTGCCCTGCTCCCTGCAGCTGCCTCCTACACGGACAGCTCGGACGATGAGACCTCCCCGAGGGACAAGCAGCAGAAGAACTCCAAGGGCAGCAGCGATTTCTGCGTGAAGAACATCAAACAGGCCGAGTTCGGGCGCCGCGAGATCGAGATCGCCGAGCAGGGTGAGGGGCTGCTCCTCCTGCTCCTCCGGGCTCTTCCTGCCCCAAATCCTCCTGGTCAGGCTCAGGGGGCTGCTGGCTTCCTGACCCCTTCCTCTTGGGATGGGAAGGTTCTGTGGGACTGTGGGGGATGGGAAAGCTTCTGTGGGATTTTGGGAGATGGGAAAGGTTCTCTGGGATTTTGGGGAATGGGAAAGCTTCTGTGGGATTTTGGGAGTTGGAAAAGCTGTGGGATTTTGGGTGATGGGAAAGCCTCTATGGGGTTTTGGGGGTTGAAAAAGCTTCTGTGGGATTTTGCGGGATGGGAAAGCTTCTGTGGGATTCTGGGGGTTGGGAAAGCTTCTGTGGGATTTTGGGGGATGGGAAAGCTGTGAGATTGTGGGGGATGGGAAAGCTTCTGTGGGATTTTGGGAGTTGGAAAAGCTGTGGGATTTTGGGGAATGGGAAAGCCTCTATGGGGTTTTGGGGGTTGAAAAAGCTTCTGTGGGATTTTGCGGGATGGGAAAGCTTCTGTGGGATTTTGGGTGATGGGAAAGGTTCTGTGGGATTTTGGGTGATGGGAAATCTTCTCTGGGATTTTGGGTGATGGGAAAGCCTCTATGGGGTTTTGGGGGTTGAAAAAGCTTCTGTGGGATTTTGCGTGATGGGAAAGCTTCTGTGGGATTCTGGGGGATGGGAAAGCTTCTGTGGGATTTTGGGAGACGGGAAAGGTTCTCTGGGATTCTGGGGGATGGGAAAGCTTCTGTGGGATTTTGGGAGACGGGAAAGGTTCTCTGGGATTCTGGGGGATGGGAAAGCTTCTGTGGGATTTTGGGAGACGGGAAAGGTTCTCTGGGATTCTGGGGGATGGGAAAGCTTCTGTGGGATTCTGGGGGATGGGAAAGGAGTTACAGCGTTGTGCTGTGTAGTTCCAACCATTAAAGGACTATTCTGTGGTTGAATCTTTATTTTGTTAAATCAGTAGAAAATATTCAATCCATCCCATAGACATCACAATTTTGGTTTATCTTGATTACCTCCAAAGATAAAAAAGCAAAGGCCAGGCAGGGTTTGGGTATTGGGGAGGTGGAGCAAATCAGCAAATCCCAAATCCTCAGCCTAAAGCAGATTTTCCTGCACCCTCACCTGGGGGCAGAAATTTGAACAAAATAGGGAAAACTCCAGAGGGATTTGGGGATTTTGATGTATTTGGGATTTGGGGATTTTCATGTGTTTGCTCTGGAGGCCTTGGCTGTTTTGAAGCTGTGTGGGTTTATGGGAACACCAGGCAGGGGGGCTGTTCCTCCTGAGCTCTTCCCACCTCATCCCCATTTTCCTTTTTGTTTCCTCGCAGAGATGCCAGCGCTGATGGCTCTGAGGAAGAGAGCTCAGGGGGAGAAACCCCTGGCTGGGGCCAAGATCGTGGGCTGCACTCACATCACAGCCCAGACAGCGGTGAGAGCCTGGCCCCAAACCCAAACGGGGCATTCCCTCTGCCCATCCCTAAACTGACCCCAAACAGGGCATTCCCTCTGCCCATCCCTAAACTGACCCCAAACAGGGCATTCCCTCTGCTCATCCCCTAAACTGACCCCAAACAGGGCATTCCCTCTGCCCATCCCTAACTGACCCCAAACAGGGCATTCCCTCTGCCCATCCCTGAACTGACCCCCTAAACTGACCCCAAACTGGGCATTCCCTCTGCCCATCCCTAAACTGACCCCCTAAACTGACCCCAAACTGGGCATTCCCTCTGCCCATCCCTAACTGACCCCCAACACGGCATTTCCTCTGCCCATAATGAAGCATTCCCTCTGCCCATCCCTGAACTGACCCCAAACTGGGCATTCCCTCTGCCCATCCCTGAACTGACCCCCTAAACTGACCCCAGACAGGGCATTCCCTCTGCCCATCCCTAAACTGACCCCAAATGGAGCATTCCCTCTGCCCATCCCCTAAACTGCTCTGGGGCTGATTTTCCCAATATTTTTGCAGACAAAACCCCCAATTTTACTGATTGTTCCAGTGTTTTTGCAGATAAAATCCCCATTTTCCTGATTTTCCTGGTGTTTCTGTAAATAAACCCCCCAGTTTTCCTGATTTCCATGGTGTTTTTGCAGATCAAATCCCCATTTTGCTGCTTTCCTGGCGCTGTGCAGCCAGGCCCGGCTGTGCTGATTTCCGTGGTGTTTTTCCAGATAAAATCTCCATTTTCCTGATTTTCCTGGTGTTCCTGTAAATAAACCCCCCAAATTTCCCTGATTTCCTGGTGCTCCTGCAGCCAAGCCCTGGCTGTGCTGATTTCCGTGGTGTTTTTGTAAATCACCTCCCCAATTTTCCTGATTTTCCCGGTGTTTCTGTAAATAACCCCCCGATTTTGCTGCTTCCCTGGTTAAACTGACCCCAAACAGGGCATTCCCTCTGCCCATCCCTAAACTGACCCCAAATGGAGCATTCCCTCTGCCCATCCCCTAAACTGCTCTGGGGCTGATTTTCCCAATATTTTTGCAGACAAAACCCCCGATTTTACTGATTGTTCCAGTGTTTTTGCAGATAAAATCCCCATTTTCCTGATTTTCCTGGTGTTTCTGTAAATAAACCCCCCAGTTTTCCTGATTTCCATGGTGTTTTTGCAGATCAAATCCCCATTTTGCTGCTTTCCTGGCGCTGTGCAGCCAGGCCCGGCTGTGCTGATTTCCGTGGTGTTTTTCCAGATAAAATCTCCATTTTCCTGATTTTCCTGGTGTTCCTGTAAATAAACCCCCCAAATTTCCCTGATTTCCTGGTGCTCCTGCAGCCAAGCCCTGGCTGTGCTGATTTCTGTGGTGTTTCTGTAAATAACCCCCCCAATTTTCCTGATTTTCCCGGTATTTCTGTAAATAACCCCCCGATTTTGCTGCTTCCCTGGTGCTGTGCAGCCAGGCCCAGCTGTGCTGATTTCCGTGGTGTTTGTGCAGATCCCATCCCCATTTTCTTGATTTCCGCGCTGTCAGCCAGGCTGGCTGTGCCAATGTCTCTCCACTGTGTTTGTGTGGATCCCATCCCCATTTTCCTGATTTTCCTGGTGCTGTGCAGCCAGACCGGCTGTGCTGATTTCCGTGGTGTTTGTGCAGATCCCATCCCCATTTTCCTGATTTTCCTGGTGCTGTGCAGCCAGGCCGGCTGTGCTGATTTCCGTGGTGTTTGTGCAGATCCCATCCCCATTTTCCTGATCCCCATGCTGTCAGCCAGCCCGGCTGTGCCATGTCTCCCGCTGTTTTTGTGCGGATCCCATCCCCATTTTCCTGATTTCCCTGTGCCGTGTCTCCCGCTGTGCTGGTGCAGATCCCATCCCCATTTTCCTGATTTCCCTGTGCCATGTCTCCCGCTGTGTTTGTGCAGATCCCATCCCCATTTTCCTGATTTCCCTGTGCCATGTCTCCCGCTGTGTTGGTGCTGACCTGGGTTTTATAGGGAGTTTATTCTGGACTTTGTAGGGAATTTATTCTGGATTTTATAGGGAATTCCTCCGGGGTTTTATAGGGAATTTCTACTGGGTTTTATAGGGAATTCGTCCTGGGTTTTATAGGGAATTCGTCCTGGGTTTTATAGGGAATTCGTCCTGGGTTTTATAGGGAATTCGTCCTGGGTTTTATAGGGAATTTGTCCTGGGTTTTATAGGGAGTTTATTCTGGATTTATAAGGAATTTCTACTGGACTTTATAGGGAATTTCTCTTGGATTTTTTAGGGAATTCCTCCTGCATTTTATAGGGAATTCCTCCTGCATTTTATAGGGAATTCCTCCTGGGTTTTATAGGGAATTCCACCTGGGTTTTACAGAAAATTCCTGGATTTTATAGGGAATTCATTCTGCATATTCTAGGTAATTCCTGCTGCATTTTATAAGGAACTCATCCTGGAGTTTATAAGGGATTCCTCCTGCATTTTATAGGGAATTTCTCCTGGATTTTATAGTGAATTCCTCCTGCATTTTATAGGGAATTCCTCCTGGGTTTTATAGGAAATTGCTCCTGGATTTTATAGGGAATTCCTTCTTCATCTTACAGGTAATTCCTCCTGCATTTTATAGGGAGTTTTTCCTGGATTTATAGGGAATTTCTCCTGGGTTTTGTAGGGAATTTCTCCTGGACTTTATAGGGAATTCCTCCCGCATTTTATAGGGAATTCCTTCTTCATCTTATAGGGAATTCCTCCTGCATTTTATAGGGAATTCCTTCTTCATTTTTTGGGGAATTCCTTCTTCATCTTACAGGTAATTCCTCCTGCATTTTATAGAGAGTTCCTGGATTTTAGAGGGAATTCCTCCTGCATTTTATAGGGAATTCCTCCTAGGTTTTATAGGGAATTTCTTCTAGATTTTACAGGGAATTCCTCCTGTATTTTATAAGGAATTCCTCCTGCATTCTGTAAGGAATTCCTCCTGCATTTTCTAGGGAATTTTTGCTGCCCCGCTGTTTTTAGCTCATTTATCACCCCTTGGAGTTTTTTTCCCTGCATCCTCTTCAGTTCAGAGCAAACCCACAGCACAAAATCACCCCTTGCCAAAGCTCTGGAACTTTTGGAATGTTTTTTTCCCTGGACTTACCCAGGTAAAACCCCTGGACTTATCCAGGTAATATCTTTGGTCTTGCCCAGGTAAAGTCCTTGGTAAAAATGTCACTTACGAGCTGAAGCTGGAAGTTGTTTTGCTCAGAGAAACGAAGCTAAATTTGGTTTAAATTCTATAATTTGGGGTGAAACTCAGGTGAAAGAGAGAATTTGGGGGGAATGTAACTCACAGAGCAGAAACTGAGGGTGTGGGGGTTACCTGGGAAATGCTGGGTGTGCCCAGGGGCTTTACCTGGCTAAATCCAAGGGTTTTCCCTAAGACCAGGATTTTACCTGGGTAAGACCAGGGATTTTACATGGAAAAGACCAAGGATTTTACCTGGGTAAATCCAGGAATTTTACCTGGGTAATGACAGGGATTTTACCTGGGCAAGGCCAGGGATTTTACATGGAAAAGACCAGGAATTTTACATGGAAAAGACCAAGAGTTTCACCTGGATAAGGTCAGGGATTTTACCTGGCTAAGTTCAAGGGTTTTACCTGGGCAAGACCAGGGATTTTACCTGGAAAAGACCAAGGGATTTTACCTGGATAAGACCAGGGATTTTACCTACGTAAATCCAAGGATTTTATGTGGGTAATGCCAAGGATTTTACCTGGATATGTCCAGGGATTTTACCTGGGCAAGGCCAGGGATTTTACATAGAAAAGACCAGGAATTTTACATAGAAAAGACCAAGAGTTTCACCTGGATAAGGTCAGGGATTTTACCTGGCTAAGTTCAAGGGTTTTACCTGGGCAAGACCAGGGATTTTACCTGGAAAAGACCAAGGGATTTTACCTGGATAAGACCAGGGATTTTACCTACGTAAATCCAAGGATTTTATGTGGGTAATGCCAAGGATTTTACCTGGATATGTCCAGGGATTTTACCTGGGTAAGGCCAGGGATTTGACATGGGAAATACCAAAGATTTTACCTGGGAAAGGCCAAGGATTTTACCTGGATACAGTCAGGGATTTAACTTAGCAAAGTCAGGAGATTTACCTGGGTAAGTCCAAGGATTTAACCTGGGTAAGACCAGGGATTTTACCTGGGTAAAACCAAGGATTTTACCTGGATAAATCCAGGGATTTTACCTGCATAAGACCAGGGATTTTACTCGGGTAAATCCAAGGGTTTTACCTGGATAAATCCAGGAATTTTACCTGGGTAATGACAGGGATTTTACCTGGGCAAAACCAGGGATTTTACATGGAAAAGACCAAGGGTTTTACCAGGGTAATGCCAAGGATTTTACTTGGATAAATCCAGGGATTTTACCTGGGCAAAACCAGGGATTTTACATGGAAAAGTCCAAGAGTTTCACCTGGATAAGACATGGGGTTTTACCTGGGTAATGCCAAGGATTTTACTTGCATAAATCCAAGGGTTTTACCTGGGTAAGGCCAGGGATTTTACCTGGGTAGAACCAGAGAATTTGCATGGGTAAGACCAAGGGTTTTACCTGGGAAAGGCCGAGGATTTTACCTGAATACAGTCAGGGATTTAACTTGGCAAAGTCAGGAGATTTACCTGGGTAAGTCCAAGGGTTTTGTCTGGGTGAGGCCAAGGATTTCACCTTAATAAATCCAGGGATTTTAACTGGGTAATAACAGGGATTTTACCTAGGCAAAACCAGGGATTTTACATGGAAAAGTCCAAGGGTTTTACCTGGGTGAGGCCAAGGATTTCACCTTAATAAATCCAGGGATTCCACCTGAATAAATCCAAGGATTTTACCTGGGCAGGTCCAGGGATTTTACCTGGGTAAGTCTAGGGGTTTTACCTGAGTAAGCCCAAGGATTTTATCCAGATAAAGTCATGGAATTCACCTGGCTGAAGCCACAGGTTTGACCACAAGCTCCGGGACACCCAGAAGAAGCCAACCCACCGTGGGTCTTACTGGCTGAAGCTGAGTAATAACCGATTATATTCAAATAAATTAACACATGAATTAATAAATCAGTGTCCAAGAGCTGATTCCCACGGGATTTTCCTGCCTTAACCCCTTCTCCCTCCCTGGCCAGGGTTCCCTGTGTTTGCCTGGAAGGGCGAATCCGAGGACGATTTCTGGTGGTGCATCGACCGCTGCGTCAACGTCGAGGGCTGGCAGCCCAACATGGTGAGTTGGGAAACACCTGGAAAACTCCCACCTGGAAAAATCCCACCTGCAGAGGGAAGGGAGAGGCAGCTAGAATCTCCTGGATCTCACCAAGCGAGGTTTGGTTTCAGTGCTTCCAAAATAAGCTGCGTTCGTGCAGTTTTTTGGGGTGTTTTGTTTGATTTCAGAGCATCTTGCTGCAGTTTAAACTGCTAAAAATGGCTCCAAATCAGTATTTTTTGAGAAGAGTTTTTCACTCTTTTCACCCTTAAATTCTCACCTTTGGCTGAGGTGATTTTTGGGAACAAAGCCCAGATTTTTCCATGATGTCCACGCTTTAAAATACAGAAACCTCAGGTTTTTATCCCTTTTTATCCCTTTTTATCCTGCCCTTGTTTCCAGGGAAAACAGGAACCTGGAATTGGGTGAGCAGAATAATTTTCAGCTGTCAGATGTGCTGTTTTCATCACATTTCACCAAGGATTTTAAGCCCTGGAGCTCCTGATCTCAATATGAGAAGTGATCAAAGGTGGAAATAGTGGATCTGAGTTGGGTTTTTGCCAATATTGGCTCGTTTGAGGTGGGATTTTTGTCCTTTCCAGTCACTGTCACCTTTAAAAAGAACCAGGAATGTCAGAAAAATCCACCCCCGAGGTATCAGACTGAGTCTAGACCTGAGAGCAGCTTTGTTCTGCTCTTTGAGGAATCATTTCCCATCCAAAATGTCACTTTTGGAGCAAGTCAGCATCCCAGAAAATGTGGATTTTGCTTTCCCGGGATCTCTGCATTCTGGGACTCTTTTCAGACCTGCTCCTGGAGCGTGGAAATGATGGAGGGAGCACCAGGATCTTGGAGCTGTTCCCAGAGATTTTGCTGGATTTTGGAGATCTGTGCTTTTAGAGATAAGAAATGATTATAAATGGTTTTAGAGATAAGAAATAGGACACTGGGTGAGGAGCAGGGTGTGAGAAGGATCTTAAAGTCATGGAATTGCGGAATGGTTTGGGTTGGGAGGGATTTCAATCCCATCCCATTCCACAGGGACCACTGTGCCAGGCTGCTCCAAGCCCCATCCAGCCTGGCCCTGGACATTCCAGGGATCCAGGGGCAGCCCCAGCTGCTCTGGGAATTCTGTGCCACCCTCAGTTTTCCCATCATTGCTCCCTGTTCCTTGGACATGGGGCCAGTTCATGGCCATTCCATCCTGGCAATCCTTCATGGGAGGGCTCTGGGAATTCTGACCTTCAGGGGAAGGCTCCTTCTGGGCAGGACTGGTTCAGAAAAGGAATTTTTTCCCCTGAAAAATATGGAATCTGCAAGGTTTCCCTCATGGAAGAGCCTCTCCAGGGATTTTCTGCTGGAGAAAACATTGGATGGCAGGGCTGAGGGAGTTGGTGACCTGGAGAGAAGCTCCAGAGCTGCCAAGGCTGCTTTTCTCTAGGAAAAATTATCTCCATCTCAAATAAAATGTTTTTTTCCAAAAAGGAAACCAACCCAAACCTGCCTGGAAGAATAGGAACGAGGCCAAACCTGCAAAAAGCTGGGAAAACAGCAGGAATGCGGGATGGGCTGTTGGATGTTGGGGTGTCACACCAAGGTGACCCCCCAGCCCCTCCAGGGATCTCCTCTGTGGGGTTTTCCATCCCCTGCTCCCATGGGAAAGGGGAACCTGCTAAGGGCTGGAGTCTCTCTTGGAAGAGGATTAAACATAAAACAGGGATTAATGAAATGAATTCCCTGGGAGCCAGGGAATTCTGGATTCTGAATTCCAAATTCCTCCCTGGCTGGCCCAGGAGAGCTCCCAGTTCCACTTAACCCTTTCCCAGCCCGTGGATGGGACATGGAGCTGGGGATGGATTCCCTGGAGGCTCCTGGAGGACACCCAGTGCTTGCAGGAGCTCTGGAGGAGCAGCTGCTCCCCGGCAGCGGAAATTCCACCGTTCCGGAAAAGGTGGGAACAGAACGCGGCGTTCCCAAGGAGCTGTGTCCCTGCATGGCAGCGTGCTGGCTCCGCACAGCCACCAGCAGGGCTGGGCAGTGTCACCTCTGTGCCAGGACAGGGAGAGGGCTCCGGAGGGTCCCCACGAGCTCCAACTGCGGCAAACGGGCGGGGACGCTTCCACCAGCGCTGGGATTTTGGGACACCCGGAATTCCCCAAATCCCTGCAAGCCACGCCCTTGAACTCCTGGCTGCTGTGGGATGGGAGATGCTTCAGGGCAGGGCCGTGAGAGCAGGGAATCCCTGACCCCTCTCCTGTGTCCTGTGGGAAGGGGTCGAGCAGGCTCTGGCCAGGGGGTGGTGATGATGATGATGATGATGGTGGTGGTGGTGGTGGTGATGAAGAAGTAAGAAATCTTTGAGGAGAAGGAGAAGGAGGACAATGATGCAGTGAGAAGTCTTTGACATCAGTGCATGGAATATGCAAGGATGAGGATGATGATGAAGATGATGATGCAGTCAGAATTCCTTGCACTGGAGTAGGGAACATGCAAAGAAGAGGATGAAGATGATGATGGTGATGATGAAGTGAGAAGTCTTTGATCTCGGTATATGGAATATGGAAAGAGGAGGAGGAGGAGAAGGAGGAGGAGGAGGATGCAGGGACAAGTCTTTGATTTTGGTGTAGGGAATGTGCAAGGATGATGATGATGATGATGACGATGATGCAATGAAAAGTTTGACTTCAGTGTGTGGCATATGCAAGGATGATGATGATGATGATGATGATGATGATGATGCAATGAAAAGTTTTGACTTCAAGGTGTGGCATATGCAAGGATGATGATGATGATGGTGATGGTGACTCTGAGGCTGATGGTGGCCATGTTGCTGTCACCCCGGACACTTCCCCTGCCCTGGGTGACATCTGCTCCCTGTTTTCCCTGGAATCCAGCAGAGTTCTCACACTTCCCACCTTGCCCAGGCCACGGGGCCTCCTGAGGGCAGGAGCACTTGGCAAAATCCACACTTGGGTTTTTTCCTTTGCCTGGACCTTTTCTTCTTCGGGAGATCCCTCTGAGCCCAGCACCTCCCCTGGGTGCCATTCCAGGTGTTCCCATACACATAAAACTGGCCAAGCTCTTGGACCTCTCTTTTCCCTGGAATTCTGAGATTTCTGGCACTGAGTTGTTTTCCTGCCTGCCCTTCCCAAGGCATTTTTTCCAGAGTTTTCCTCTCCTCGCTCACCTCCAGTGTTTTTATTCCAGCAGTGGCTTCCTGCCCTGCCCCAGGTGACTCTGTGGCTGTTTTCATTCCAGATCCTGGATGATGGGGGAGATCTCACCCACTGGATCTATAAGAAATACCCCAACATGTTCAAGAAGATCAAGGGCATTGTGGAGGAGAGCGTCACCGGGGTCCACAGGTTTGGGACAAAACTCAGCCCCCGCAGCTGAGCTGGGAGCTGAGCCTCCAGCAGCTGGGCTCTGCTTTTCCCTCAGGCCTGGCTTTCCATGGACACTGCTTTGATCTGGGCAGGACACCTGGAACTGCTCTGAGCTCCAGGAGAAGCAGGAGCCCCTCCTGAGGGTGGGAGGAGAGGCTCTCACCTCCTGTGGAGATGGAACAGGAGGGCTGAGCAGGAAGCCAAGAGCCCTGCTCTAAATCTGTGGGAAGAAGTGAGATTTGGGAAGAGGAACTGAGTTGTTTTTGGGGAAAGGGAGAACCTCAGAGATGAGTGAGTGAAATCCCTCAGTCCCTGGCAGGAGCAGAGCTGGGGTGGGAGCAGCTCTGGGGGTTGGGAGGTGTCAGAGGAGCTTTTCCATGGAATTCATCCCATCACAGGTGCCAGGGCACTGAGGGGAGCAGCACTGCTTGCTGAGTTCTTGCGGGGGGAAAGGCTTGGCTGCAGCTCTGGGCTGGATCAGAGCTTGGCCAGAGGTTCAGGCAGCTCCTGGAACAGGGAATGAAATGTGTGAAACCGGGAAGTGGCTCCAGCTCTGCACCAGTGGGGTCAGGAGAAGGACTGGTGATATTTTTAGGATCTGAAATCCCAGTGTGGGAAGAAGAGATTCCCAAAGGCAGATTCTCCTTCCCAAGGGCTGGAGCAGGAACAGGATTTTCAGACTCTCTTGAAAGAAGAGCCGCAGTGGGGTGTTTAAATTCATTTTTAGTGATTTTCCTGCTGTGGGGGAGTTGAGTCTGTGCCCAGAGCTGGGAGCAGGGGGGTGCTGGAGAGGAGAAGGCTCCAGGGAGAGCTTCCAGCACATTCCAGGGCCTGCAGGGGCTCCAGGAGAGCTGCAGAGGGACTGGGGACAAGGGATGGACAGGACACAGGGAATGGCTCCCAGTGCCAGAGGGCAGCCATGGATGGGATCTTGGCCATGAGGAATTCCTGGCTGGGCTGGAATTGCCAGAGCAGCTGGGGCTGCCCCTGCATCCCTGCAGTGCCCAAGGCCAGGCTGGACACTGGGACAGTGCCCGGTGCCCCTGCCATGGCCAGGCTGATCCGTAAGGCCCTTGCCATCCCAAACCCCGAGTGAGGGATGAATTCCCTGGATAACCCCTGCTCCTTGGCAGGCTGTACCAGCTCTCCAAGGCGGGGAAGCTCTGCGTGCCAGCCATGAACGTCAACGACTCGGTCACCAAGCAGAAGTTTGACAACCTCTACTGCTGCCGGGAGTCCATCCTGGACGGGTGAGGGGCATCCCATGGGGAATGGGGAGGGATTCCCACGGGGAATGGGGAGGGATTCCCACAGGGAACAGGGAGGAATCCCCATGGGGAATGGGGAGGAATGCCCATGGGGAAAAAGCATCCCTGCAGTGCCCAAGTGGGGAGGGATTCCCATGGGGAATGGGGAGGGATTCCCACGGGGAATGGGGAGGGATTCCCACGGGAATGGAGTGGGGAACAGGGAGGAATTCCCATGGGGAACAGGGAGGAATCCCCACAGGGAATGGGGAGGAATTCCCACTGGGAATGGGGAGGAATGCCCATGGGGAACGGGGAGGAATTCCCACAGGGAATGGAGAGGAATCCCCATGGGGAATGGGGAGGGATTCCCACTGGGGAATGGGGAGGGATCCCCACGGGGAACAGGGAGGGATTCCCACTGGGAATGGGGAGGAATCCCCACAGGGAATGGGGAGGAATTCCCACAGGGAACAGGGAGGAATGCCCACAGGGAATGGAGAGGAATGCCCATGGGGAACGGGGAGGAATTCCCACGGGGAACGGGAAGGAATGCCCACAGGGAATGGGGAGGAATTCCCACTGGGAATGGAGTGGGGAACGGGGAGGAATTCCCACGGGGAACGGGAAGGAATGCCCACAGGGAACAGGGAGGGGTTCCCACAGGGAATGGAGAGGAATGCCCATGGGGAAAAGGAAGGAATTCTCACGGGGAATGGGGAGGGATCCCCACGGGGAGCGGGGAGGAATTCCCATGGGGAATAGGGAGGAATGCCCACAGGGAAGGGGAAGGAATCCCCACAGGGAATGGGGAGGAATTCCTACAGGGAACAGGGAGGAATTCCCACGGGGCTCTGCTCTGCTGCCATTTGGATCATCTCAGCTCAGTTCGTGTGTCAGAGGAGAATAAAGTCCTTCCCTACCTCTGGTGCATGTCAGAATTCCTGTCCTGTCCCTCTCCCCTTTGGATAAAATCCCCCTGTGTCCCATGTGTGTCCCTCTATCCCTTTTTTTCTCTCCAGCTCTTTTTTCCCTTTCTTTTCATGGAATTGGGTGTCCGTGTCCCTCCACCCCAAATTCCATCAGGGCTGAGTGAGGCTGGGACAGGTTTTGTCCTTGTTGTGACATCGTTTGTGGCACAATCCATGAACAATCCGGGAATTTGGGGTGTGCAGCAGCCCCTTCCAAGGAACAGGGAGCAGGAATGGGAATAATGGGGGGGTGAAATATGGGAACAGAATTCCCAGAGCAGCTGGGGCTGCCCCTGCATCCCTGGCAGTGCCCAAGGCCAGGCTGGACACTGGGGCTGGAGCAGCCTGGCACAGTGGGAGGTGTCCCTGGGATGGGATGGGATTTAAGGTCCTTTCCAACCCAAAAACTCCAGGGATTCCATGGAAACACCTTGGGGGTAAATTGGGATTCAGGTTCAGCCTGGTGCAGGAATTGAACAGAGAGCAGAGGTGCCTCAGAGCTGCTGTGGGTTTTAGCTGAATTTCCCTGGAAAAGGGAGGGAATTTCACCTTCCCTGCACTGCTAACCTATTTACTCCAGAGCTAAAAATAGCCTGGAATGTAGGACACGCTCAGGGAGGGAGCAGAAGGAAACCAGAGGAAGGGGGAGCTTCATTTGGGAAAAGCTCTGGGATTCTGGCAAGGAGTTCCCACTCCCCTGCTGCTCTGGGGCTCTTCCTTGGGGGGCACTTGGGGTTGACAATAAAAATCCAGATTAAAGGATTTTTGGAGAGGATTTTCAATATTTTGGGAGTGTCAGAACAAAGGGTAAATGAATAAAAATCAACAAAAAAAGGGCTCCAAACCCAAATTCCATCCTCTTTGTTGGAAGAACAAGAGAACCCCCACCCTTCCAAAAGGAAAAGGGAGTTTTGAGGTGTTTTTGGGGTTTTCTCTTCCCCTGGAATTTCAGGGGTGCAGGATCCAGCTGTGGATCCATCCTTGGAGCAGCTCTTATTGCTGGGCTGGAATTCTGACCTTTAATTGGGTTTTTTTTCCCTTTTTCCTCAGCCTGAAGAGGACAACAGACATGATGTTTGGAGGGAAGCAGGTGGTGGTTTGTGGCTATGGGGAGGTAAGGGGCTCCATTTTCCCAATTTTCCTCCTTTTCCCACTGGGAATTCCACGTGTGAATCCTCAGCACAGCTTCCTCCACCCTCAGGTCCTCCACCTGCAGGACCCTCCAAACCTCAGGAGTTTGCCAAAAACTGAAAGTTTTCTTCATTTCTTTATTATTAAAGAGATGCCAAAGCTGAATGTTTAAAAAATACATTAAATATTCTGCATATCTTTAATATCTGGATATTGGCATGCCCACATATTGATACAACACATATTTCTATAATTTTAATATTATATTCAGTCTGATTTGTCTAAAATCAGAGGTTCTGCAGATGTTCTGGGCATTCCAGTGTGGTCAAGAGAGAATTAATCTTGATTTATCCCTTCACCCACCCTCTCTCCAGATGGGAATATTCCTCTTTTCCCACTTTTTCTCAGGACCAGTTCACACCAGTTGCAGTGAGTACTCTACTGGAATTTTTTTCATGTCCAAGCAAAACATCTCCTGGTTCATCCCATCTACCCTAAAACATCTCCTGGTTCATCCCATCTACCCTAAAACATCTCCTGGTTCATCCCATCTACCCTAAAACATCTCCTGGTTCATCCCATCTGCCCTGAAACATCTCCTGGTTTATCCCATCCCAGGAAACAGCCCTGCCCTAAAACACCTCCTGGTTTATCCCATTTGCCCTAAAGCATCTCCCAGTTTATCCCATCCCAGGAAAAGGGCCCTGCCCTAAAACATCTCCCAGTTTATCCCATCCCACAGCAGTCAGGAGTTTGGGACATGGCTTGCAGGGATTTTGGGCATGAGCTGCTCCCTGGCTCTCCCAGGGCTGTGCCCACACCTCACCCTGGGGGTGTTTGGGGTCCTGTGACCCCCCAACCCTCACCGGACACAGCTGGGTTTGGATCCTCCTTGTGCATCCCCAGCTGTGGATCCCAAAAACACCCAGAGCCCCCCTAAGCCCTCAGCCTGCTCCTCACCAGGTTGTTATGGTGAGAGGGCTAACGAGTTCTAATTAGCAGAGCTGATGAACTTTTGGGCTGCTCTGTGACCTTCATCCATCCTCAGCTGGGAATTTCCAGCAATCCCTTCCCTGACCCTGCTCGAGGCAGCAGCAGCAGCACGTGGCCCCTCTCAGGAGGAGCTGGCAGTGGGGAAAAGCTCAGGAAATGGGGACATGCAGCAGAAAAAAATGACTTTTTTTTTTTTTAGTAGCTACAATTTTGCAGCTTGTGAGCCGCACAGGAAGGAGCTCTGGGGAGGATTGTCAACAAATCCCAAAAAAACCCACCCTGCCCTTGTTATCCCTGAGCTCACCTTGCTGGGGAGGGCAGGGCAGGCCTGCTGGGGCTCCGCACCTCTCAGGGTTCTGCAGGTGCCTAAATAAGGATTTTGGGGTGGTGAGAGGCACCCACAGCTTTGAGGTGTTTTTTAGGATGCTCTAAATCCATCCCAACCTGGATTCTGAGCAGATCCACAGCTCCTGGATGTTCCCTGCAGGAGAACAGCTCTAAGAAACCCATCAGGGTCAAGAATTGAGATTTGCAGATGAGAAGGCCTTGACAGGACATGGGAAAACCCCAAAATCCCTTCTCACTTCTCCTCACAAATGTCCCAGACCCTCCAGGATGACCCCAGAAACTCCCAGTGGCTCATAGGAGATTAAAATTGGGATCTGGGGTCACTTTGTGCCTGTTTTCCCTCCCAGCATGGACGGGTTCCGGCTGGTGAAGCTCAATGAAGTCATCAGGCAGGTCGACATCGTCATCACCTGCACAGGTAGGGGCCAGCGGGGTGGGACGTGGGAGCCACACCCCAAAAGGACCCCAACCCCAGCCCGGGCCTGAGGGGACCCCAAAGGCAGGGCAGGACAGGGGATTTATCCAGGGCTGTGCTGCTGGCAGGGAACAAGAACGTGGTGACCAGGGAACATCTGGACAGGATGAAGAACAGCTGCATTGTCTGCAACATGGGGCACTCCAACACCGAGATCGACGTGGTGAGCGGGGGCAGCGGGCTCGGGGGGGCGTTTGGGGGGGATGGGGTTTGGGGGGACGGGGTTTGCAGTGATGGTGCTGTGAGGAGACTGTTTTGGGATGGTGGTGCTTTGGGGTTACATGTTTTGGGGTGGTGGTGCTTTGGGGTAATGGTGCTTTGGGGTGGTGGTGCTTTTGGGCAGTGGTGTTTGGGGTGGTGATGTTTTGGGGTGACAAGGTTCGGGGTGATGATATTTTAGGATAATGATGTTTTGACCCCAAAGGCAGGGCAGGACAGGGGATTTATCCAGGGCTGTGCTGCTGGCAGGGAACAAGAACGTGGTGACCAGGGAACATCTGGACAGGATGAAGAACAGCTGCATTGTCTGCAACATGGGGCACTCCAACACCGAGATCGACGTGGTGAGCGGGGGCAGCGGGCTCGGGTGCTGTGAGGAGACTGTTTTAGAGTGGTGGTGCTTTGGGGTTACATGTTTTGGGGTGGTGGTGCTTTGGGGTAATGGTGCTTTGGGGTGGTGGTGCTTTTGGGCAGTGGTGTTTGGGGTGGTGATGTTTTGGGGTGACAAGGTTCGGGGTGATGATATTTTAGGATAATGATGTTTTGGGTGTTTGGGGTGACTGTTTTGGGGTGATGGTGTTTGGGGTTACAGTGTTTTAGGGTCATGGTTCTTTGGGGCAGCTCTTTTAGGGTCAGAGTGCTTTGGGATAATGATGTTTTGGGCTGACAGTGCTTTAGGGTGATGGTGTTTTGAGGTGATGGTGCTTTGGGGCAATTATGTTTGGGGTGGTTGTGCTTTGAGTGACACTGTTTGGGGTGATGGAGTTTTGGGGTGATGGAGTTTTGGGCTAACAGTGTTTGGACTGGTGGTATTTTGGGGAGGTGGTGTTTGGAGTGACTGTTTTGGAGTGATGGTTTTTCAGACTGACAGCATTTTGGGCTGACAGCTCTGGGATCATGGTGTTTTAGGGTGATGGTGCTTTGGGGTTACAGTGTTTTAGGGTGATGGTGCTTTGGGGTTACAGTGTTTTAGGGTGATGGTTCTTTGGGGCAGTGGTGTTTGGGATGATGGTGCTCTGGGACAACTCTTTTAGAGGTCTGGTTCTTTGGGATAATGGTGATTTGGGCTGACAGTGCTTTAGGATGAAGGTGTTTTGAGGTGATGGAGTTTTGGGGCAGTGGTTGTGCTTTGAGTGACACTGTTTGGGGTGATGCTGTTTTGAGGTGATGGTGTTTTGGGGCAGTGGTGTTTGGGGTGGTTGTGCTTTGAGTGACACTGTTTGAGGTGATGGTGTTTTGGGGCAGTGGTGTTTGGGGTGGTTGTGCTTTGAGTGACACTGTTTGGGGTGATGGTGGATCCTCACCAGCTCCTGGACAGTCACGGTGCAGCTCTGATGTGCTGAGCACCTAGAACAGCTCAGCCCATGAATCACAGAGGTGTCACTGGGCTGGGATCCAGGGGACAATCCCGGGGCTCTGGCAGGGGTCGCTGCCTCCTCCCAGCCCGTTGCTGAGGCTCAGCCCAGCCCTGGTGCTGCTGTGACGTTTCCCTTTCCAGGCCAGCCTGCGCACGCCCGAGCTGACCTGGGAGCGGGTGAGGTCCCAGGTGGATCACGTCATCTGGCCCGACGGGAAGAGGATCGTGCTGCTGGCAGAGGTGAGGGAGCAGCAGCTGCAGCTCAGGGCCATGGGCATGCTGGAATTTGGCTCAGGGAATCGTGGAATCACAGAACGATTTAGGTTGGAAAACACCTCTGAGTCCATCAAGTCCAACCATTCCCAGCCCTGCCAAAGCCACCAGGTCCCCAGGTGCCACATCCACAGGGCTGTTAAATCCCCCCAGGAATCGGGACTCCACCCCTGCCCTGGGCAGCTCATTCCAATGCCTGACAACCTTTCCGTGGAGAAATTTTCCCTAAAATCCCCCAGCCCCTCCCCTGGTCCAGGCTGAGGCCGTTCCCTCTCCTCCTGTCCCTGTTCCCTGGAGCACAGCCCGACCCCCCCGGCTGTCCCCTCCTGGCAGGGACTTGTGCAGAGCCACAAGGGCCCCCCTGAGTTCCTGGGATGAAGAAAAGCTCCCCTGTTTTAATTCATCCCACTCCAGGGTATCTCCCACAGGGAGATTTCCACTTCCTAAGGGCAGCCACTCCTCAGGGCTCGGTGCAGGTGACACAGCAGGGACACATTGCTCCAGTGGTTCCTGTCCCTCCTCTGGGGTGACAGACTGGGTTTGGTGCCCTGTTAACAACCAGGTTCTGCTTCCCAGGGCCGCCTGCTGAACCTGAGCTGCTCCACCGTGCCCACCTTTGTCCTGTCCATCACGGCCACCACCCAGGTGAGGGGGCTTGGGCTGCTCTGGGGGCAGGCCCTGCTCTGAGGGACAGCAGCCCCTGACCCCCGTGTCCTCTCTGCAGGCCCTGGCTCTGATAGAGCTGTACAACGCTCCCGAGGGCCGCTACAAGCAGGACGTGTACTTGCTGCCTAAAAAAATGGGTAACAACAGTCCCCATGCCTTCTGCTCATGGGCTGAACGGCTGGGAGGTGGCCCTGGGCCAGACTGGGTCACTGTCACAGCTGGGAGGTGGCCCTGGGCCAGGCTGGGTCACTGTCACAGCTGGGAGGTGGCCCTGGGCCCAGCTCAGGGGCTTCCAGCAGCTCTTCCCTCCAGCCCTGGGTCCAGCTGCTCTGCTGTCCCACCTGTGGGGAGCAGGGGGTGCCTCCCAGAGCAGGGGGTGTCCCGTGGGGCCTCACCCCTGCCAGCAGCTCCCCCAGCACAGCCCCCTCCTGAGCACACGGCCACCCTGGGCACGCTTGGGCAGAATGGGCTTTTTGGTGGGAATTGGGGTTTTTGAGGCGGGGCTGGCTCATCCTGGTCTTGGGGTGAGGTGTCACCTACCAGAGATGCCAGGTGGGTTGTGCCTCAGCCCGGGGCTCTGGTTGTGGCCTCCCTTCCCTGAGGCCTGGCCTCCTTTCCCTGCCCCAGACGAGTACGTGGCCAGCCTGCACCTGCCCACGTTCGACGCGCACCTGACGGAGCTGACGGACGAGCAGGCCAAGTACCTGGGGCTCAACAAGAACGGACCCTTCAAGCCCAACTACTACAGGTGCCCTCCAGCCCTGTCCCCTCCCTGTCCCTCCCAGCCTTCTCCTCCTCCCTGTCCCTCCCAGCCCTGTCCCCTCCCAGTGCCCTCCCAGCCTTCTCCTCCTCCCTGTGCCCTCCCAGCCCTCTGCTCCTGCCCCGGCGTGGGTGACACCTGTGGGGGCAGAGGGGACAGGGTTTAACCCCCCCGTCCCGAGGCGATTCCGAGGGCTCTCGGCTCAGTCCCGGTGCAGCAGCAGGAAGGGGATGGCGCACTTGGAGCAGTGACAGGAGCTCTTGGCAGGACAGGAGCCCTTTGTGGTGGCAGCAGCTGTCACCCAGACGTGGCAGATGCCAGCGCGATGCCACCGGCTCGGTGGCAGCTTTATTTTTGAAGTCTGACGGAGGATGAGGTGGCACAGAGCAGCCTTGGGCCCAGCTCCCACAGGCTCAGCTCCACGGCTCCTTCCTAAGCACGGGCTGGGCAGATCCCCAAAATAATAATAATTTTCAGTAGGAGCCCTGGATCGCTTCCCTTTCCACATTTTTTAGCCAGCACTGCCATGGATTTCCACTGTGAAAATGGAATGGCTTTGCACAAAAGTGGATCTGCTTGGGAGGGTGAAGCCCAGATCCTTTTTCTGCAGGAAAAGGGATTTTCTTGGCTGGCAGAGAGCACCAGAACACTCCCGGTTTGGGGATTGCTGGGTTTTCCCACATCCTGAGCTTTTTTCCTTGCAAAATCCTGGTGCTTCCTCGTGGCTGTGGAGGAATTCCCTCTGGTTCAGTTCTCTGTGCCTGGTTTTGGTGTCTGGCATGGCCCTGCCTTGTTGGGAGCGAGGTTTGTCCCTGTTTTGGTGCCTGGCATGGCCCAGCCTTGTGGGGAGCGAGGTTTGTCCTGGAGAGGTCGGGATCCTTTGAGGGTCTCAGGGAATTCCCTGCCCTGAGGGGGAGCCACGACCCCTCCAACCTCCCGTGGACACCTTGGAGGCAGCGAGGACCAAGTCCCTTCCTCAGCCATTTCTGTCCTTGGCGTCTCCCCCTCCCAAAATCCACCGTGGTGATGCCGGGGCAGCTTCTGCTCCCTTCCCCGCTCACCAAAGCCCCGTTTTTCCATCTTTTCCCAGATATTGAGTTCCCGCCGCCGCGTCCCGGAGAATCGCGAGGAACTGCGACAACACCCGAGTCTTTCTCAACTACTGTACAGGATGAAACCGCGCAAGCTTCCCACGCTAGAGCCGGGCTTGCTGCCATAGTCGACAGTGTGTTTAGGTTATTTATTTATTAAATTAGGATACTGTTCATGTGGCCTCTGCCACTGGTGTTCGTCCTGCCGCGGGACTGGGAGACGCTGGATTTTCTTTCCGTTCCTTTCATTTTTCTCTTTGGGTTCGTTCTTTTCCGGGGCTGGGAGGACGGGGAAGGCGAGGAGGAATCGAGCCGTGGAATAGTCCCTTATCCCTGCTCTCCCTGCACACGGCGGGGCCCGGCCTGGGAGTCGCTTTTGGTTTCCTCCACGCCCCAGCGCTTCTCCGGCGGCGCCGGATGCCGCAGCCGGGGAATCTCCGGCGGTTTGACGACAGAGCCAAGATCCTCCTTGGCTCCGGGCGCTGCCGCCCTGCCGGGAGCCGCCTCGGGAATCTGGCTGGAGAAGCCTCTCCGTGTGCCCTGGAAGTGCCCGGGGCCGTGCCCAGCCGGGGAACCTCGCCTTAGCCCTGCCCGGAGCTGTGCCCAGGGCTCAGCGCCGGCCCGGGGAGAGCCCCGAGCTCCGCGCCGCTCCCCTGGCCACAGCCCCGCGGCGTTTTCCTGCTGCTGTCGTTCCGAGTGCCAACCTCTCTGGATCAACCAAAGTCGTGTTCCCGGCGGGGCCGGGGCAGCCCCGCCCGCCCACCGATGCTGCTGCCGCGCCGGCGGCTCTGGCCGCGCCAGGCAGAGCTCGCCGGCCGCCCGGCTGGGAGGACCCAGGTCCTTCTCCAGCTGAATTTCAGTCCTCATTGGAAGTTCGGAGTTTTATTTTCTGGTCATATTTGTATGAATCTGGAATTCCCCTTGGGAATGTATGAGACGTCCTCCGGAGCGACCCCCACGGATTCTGTGCGAGGGGAGAGTTCAGCATCACCAAAACCCTTTGGTCACCTCGACGTGTCAGAGCTGATGGAGAATAAATTTGCCAGAGTTCCCTGTTTTATCCCAAGATGTCCCACCTGAGCACAGGACAGCGTGACCCTTAGCAAGGTGACTTCCCAAGTGTCTGAGCGGAGTCACTTCTGTCCCTCACGTGGAGAACGTGATCCTTCTGAAACAAAACTGCCCGGCCCCGTGAGCACAGAAGCCTCTGTCCTCCCTGTTGGTTCCCGAGTCTCTCATCGGCTGCAGATCCGTGTTGTGTCCTCCTGGGCTTCTTTGCCATCATGGAGAACTGTTTAGTGGCAGCTCGTTCACGCACAAGGAAGGGAAAACAGGAATGACAGCCTCAAGTCCTTCCCACGGCTCTCCAGAGATTTGGAGGCAGGTTGGCCACAAGTCGCTCATCTCCAGAGCAAACGTTCCCATGTGCCGGCTTATTCCAAGTTTCTCTTTGAAATCTCTCAAAATCAGGAAGGAAAACCTTGAGAAGAGCTTGAGGAAACCTTGAAGAGACCTTGGGAAGGCGTCAGGGCTTTCAGAAGGCCTTGAGGAGACCTTCAGGCTTTGAGAAGCTTCCAGTAGACAGATCTCTAACCACAGACTCGAAATGATCTCTGCTCGTTCATTTTACCCAGATCCTGAGAATTTCTGGGAAGAATCCCCTGAGCTGTTTGAAACATCACACCCAGGTGTTCTCCCCGAGCTGGATCCTGGTCTGTGTGAGCCCCTGCTGTTCCCTGGGAGCTGCTCCTGGCCCAGGTGAGACGCGGCCGTGGGGTCACTGGGGCAGAGCAGCTCTGGGAAGAACAGGAATCCCATCCCAACCCAAGCACAGCCACTTCCCCCTGGAAAAGTCCCTTTCATCCCCACCCCTCATCCCCAGAGCCGTGTCCCACCCTGTGCCTGCTCTGCACAGCCCCAGATCCCTTGGTGCCCAGTTTTAACCCCCTTTTATCTTCCAGGTAGTTAGGAAGGGAAAAAAAAATAAATATATATATATATATTACTACTGAAATCCCAACTGGCTTTTCCCACCTCGATTTTTAAAGCTCTTCTCCATGTTCTGCTTCTCCTGTAAAAGCTTTTTGGCTCGCTTGGCTTTTTTCCTAATCAACCTGGAATCATATCTATGATCATCTCTAAATTAAACGTGTAATGGGGTTTGGTTTCTTTCATCTTTTTTTTTTTTTTAATGTAACGCATTTTTCAAGACTTAGGAAAAAGGAGATTTTAGGTAACACCAGCAAAATCGCATAAAGGAAATTAATTTTGTTCTGAACTTTAGAGATAATAATAAGACAAAACTCGTCATCAGCAGCGAGGAAACGAAAACGTCGCAACCGTAACATTTCAGAAGGATGTTTTAAATATTAATGTCTGAGTGATTGTATTAGATCAGCAATAAAGACTCTGTAATCTCAAAACACAAATAAAACATTGGAAAACTCAGCCTCTCCCGAGCATCCTTGGGGTCAGGCGGGGGCAGACCGGGATTTTGGGGGGAAAAGGAGGGCTCGGGGCTGTGGTGGGATGGGGGGCTGTCCCCTGAGCTCCTGCTGCTTCCAGACAGTTCCAGCGGGGGGAGCGGCTCCGGGGCCGCGTCCTTGGGGCAGCCGGAGCTGTTTGGGCTGCTGTGTCCTTGGAAGCGGCGCGGGAGCGATCCCGGTGCCGTTATCGGCTCCGGAGCAATCCCGTTACCGGCTCCGCTCCCGCCCTGCCGGGCAGAGCCGCCCACGCTGCCGCGGCGGCCGAGGGAAATTCGGCCCCAAACCCTTGGGGTCTCCAGCCTCGCAGAGGCTCTGAAGGGATGTGGGACGTGAGGGACACCGAGGTCGGGCACCCGGCACCTCCCCGGCCACAAACGTGCAGAGTCACCCCAAAAACAACCGCCCCCCTCTTTACTGGGTGTGGGAATGGAAACCGTGCTCCAGGGCCCCGGGAGCTGCCTGGCACCAGAACGGGGACGCCGGGCTGTGGACAGCCCGAGCTGCCGGGTGCTTCTGGGGCTGTCTTGGGGACGGGGACCTTCGGCCCTGCCTGTGCTGGGGCGGCTGCAGCCCCACAGGTGCCCCCGGCCCGTCCATGGGCACCCCCTCGGTACCCACGGGCACCTCTGGCACCACCGGCTCCTGCCCCGCTGCCCCCTGCAGGGACACCCCGCACCCCCACGGCAGCGTTCTGTATCCCAGCACTCCAAGGACACCCTACAAATCCTCCTTCCCCAGCATTCCCTGCTCCCAGCACCCCAGGGACCCCCCATAACTCCTCAGCATTCCCTGCTCCCAGCACCCCAGGGACCCCCCATAACTCCTCAGCATTCCCTGCTCCCAGCACCCCAGGGGCCCCCCAGGGACACCCCCTGTGTCCCCAGCCCCCAGGGACACCCCCTGTGTCCCCAGCCCTCCCATCCCGAGGGACCCCCGTGTCCCTCGACTCCCTCCGCCGTTACCCCCGGCCCCGCCCCATCCCGCTCCGGACCAATGGCGACGCGGGGGTGTGTCCGGAGCCCACGCCCCCGATCCCGGCGGACCAATGGGCGGGGCGGGGCGGGGCGGAGCCCGGCCCCCACGTGCTGGCGGCGGCCGCGGGATGGAGGCGGCGGGAGGCGGCGGAGCCCCGGGCCCGGGCAGGGCCCGCCCGGGACAGCCCCAACCCCAACCCCAACCCCAGACCCAGCCACAGACCCAGCCACAGCCGCAGCCCAAGGGCCGGGAGCTCTTCAGGAGCCAGCGCAAGGAGTCCGAGGTAAGAGCGCGGAGCTCGGTGCCGGCGCCCCCCGGGCTCCGCCGGGACCGGCTGTGGCGTAGGGGGTCCCTGCTCCGGGGCTGGGGCTCCTGCGGTAGGAGCCTTATCCAGGACTGGGGGAGCTCCCGGTCTTGGGGGTGCTCCCTGCCCCAAACCGGACGCTTTACGGGGGTGGCTTCAGCGTCCTGCGATGCCCAGCCCGGAGCGGGAGTCCCCAGGGGCGCTCCGCGGCACTGCCAGCTCCCCGCTCCACGCCCAGACCCAGCTGCAGAGTTTTGGGGTGCTGGCTCAGCCCCAGCACTGGCACCTCCCAGCCCCACGCCCAGAGCCGGCAGCAGGGTTTTGGGGTCCCACCTGGGCCCTGGGCTCCCCCACACTCTGCAGGCTCTCCTTTGCCCCTCACCAAGGTCCGGGTGCCGCTGTCCCCTCCTGCCCCGATAACCCCGGGGCACGGGGGAACCCCCAAACCCCGCTGGGCTGCCCTGCCCCAGCTGCGCCCGTGCGGCTTCGTGAGTGCCAGGCCGGGGAAGCAGGACCGGGATCGGGTCACCAGGATCCCACTGGGATCTGATGTTCCCGGCCACCGTACAGCCACCCTTGGGGCTCCCTAACCCCGGAAGGGTCCCTGGGAACGGTGTCCAAGTCGTGCCCCCAACTCGTGAATTTGGGGTTTGCTTTTCTCGCCTGGCTCGGTCTCGCAGAGCGGATTAGGGCTGCAGAAATTCCTCCCCGGCTTTAAGAGCCCGGGCCGCCCCGCCGGCTGGGCGGCAGAAATGGGCTGAGGAACCAGCCGGGCTCATCCCGGAGCCGCGCATCCTCCTGCCTCATCAATATTAATCGCCGCGATGCGCATCAGTTCCAGCCCGGCTGCCGAGGAGGGACGCTGAGACTCGGAACGGGGAATTATGTTAATTTCGTTGATTACCCATTCATGTGTTCCCTTACCCGGGGCAGGGCGGCGCGGTGCCGGCCTGGGGTCGTCTGGCTGCGGCTGCCTGCTCGCTGCCCCGCCGGAATCCTCCGGCGAAGTTTCATGCTCCAGTTCCTCATCCGCAGGGGAGGAGGGGGAGATCAGAACGGCAAAGCCCGGCCCCGAGAGCTGTCAGATCTGCGGTGCCGAGATCGGAGCTCAGGGATCCGCAGCATCCTCCCGCGGGCTTTTGCTTTGAACCAGCCCCGGGGTTTGTTTTTAGGGCGTGCAGGGCTCTGAAATGCATCAAACGTTCAGCGGCATTTTGTGTCGTGCCTTTGCTTTCCCTGGGATTTGAGAAATGCTGTTTTTACACACGGCTTCCACATTTCCCCTGTGCTTGAAGCGGCCCCGCACGGACTCCCCGCTCGAGACCCATCCCTGCGAGCGCTGCTCCGGCGGCTGGAGCAGCTTTGGCGCAAAGGCTGCGAGCGCTGGCAGCCATCCCGCATCCCAAAATATCCCCAGGGATGTGCCAGCCCCCTCCTAACCCCATCCCGCTCTCCGCAGGGCTCCGTGGATTGTCCCAACCTGGAATTCGAGTACGGGGATGCCGACGGCCACGGCGCTGAGCTGGCAGGTGAAGCAGGCTTTGGGTGCTGCGTTGTTATTTACAGGTGCCCGGCAGGCAGGGAAAATGAAAATCCCTCCGGGATGGGGGATGGACACTCAGTGGCGCCGTCCCTGCAGTGGCAGCAAGCGGGGTTTGTTATTACAGAGCCACTCGCTCCCTGGGGACGCAGAAGGGACGCGCGGGGACACGGGGACTGCCCAGGGCACAGCGCGGGGTGGCAGGAGGGCGGAGTGTCCGGTGACAGAGCCAGGCGGGAGGTGGCACCCTTTATCGGGCGGGTCTGTCCTTGTCGCCTGTGTCCCCGCTGTGTGGCGGCTCCAGCTGCCTCTGCTCCCTAACCCCCGGTGCCGAGCGTGTCCGGAGAAAATGGGGTTATTTTTAGCTCCGTGTATCTCAGCTGCACACGCTGGCCTGGCAAAAACACATTTCCTCTGCAAGGGATCCTTCCTCCTTCCCTGCAGGATCACTTCAGTCCTCCGTGGTGCTGCTCAGCACCTCAGGACTGTAGGGATTCTGTGGGAACAGGTAGGAATCCTACGGGAGCAGGTAGGAATTCTGTGGGAACAGGCAGGAATTACAAAGAGCAGGTGCAACATCGTGTCCCTCCAAGTCCAGCCCCTATTTGCAGGACCCAAAATGTCCGAGCTGCTGGCTGGGGGATCAGTGCAGGTCCTGCCTGGGTGTTCCTGCATTCCCTTCATTCCCAAACTGCTTAAGTGAGACCCAAAATGTCCCCTCAAAAACCCCAATGAAATTACAAGTGCAGCTGGAGCAGGAGCTGGGAGCAGCCCAGCCAGGACACGGGGATGAAGGGGCTGGGTTTGGTGGCATTGGGTGGCCACAAGGTGCCCTTGGAGCTGCAGGAGGGCTCAGGGACCAGTTTGGGTCTCTGTCCCCTGTCTGCCTGGGTGCCAGGGATGCTTCCCAAGGAATTTGGGAATGAGGAGGAGGGTGAAGGCTCTCCATGTCCCTGCTGATCCCTGTCTCCACCAGAGCTGTACAGCTACACCGAGGAGCCTGAGCTGAGCCACAACAGGAGATGCTTCGAGGAGGATTTTCACACTCAAGGTACCAGCTCTGGGCTCAGCACCCCTGGCTTGGGGCAAGAGCAGGACCCCCAGGGAATCACTCAGGGACTCGTGTCCCTTTGCAGTGCCGGACAGGAGGTGGCTGGAGCTGGACAGGGCTCAGCAGAAGGCCTACGTCATGCGCCTGCTGGATGGGCTGGAGGTGGTCAACAGGGACAAGAGGCTCAGAGTAGCACGGGCCATCCTGTACCTGGCACAGGGTAAGGACACGTCCCCTGTGGCTGGATGTGGCCTCGGATCTGCTGCTGTGGGGGTTTGGGAGAAGTCTTTCTTGGGGTTGTGCCAGGTTGTGAAGTGAAGCTCCTGCCTGGGGTGGTCCTGTGGACTTCAGGGGTTCAAAGGCAGATCCTCCCTCACCAGTGTTTCTCTCTGGGGCCTCTGCAGGTGTCTTTGGGGACTGTGATAATGAAGGTGATGTCCTGCACTGGTCTCGGCACAACAGCTTCCTCCTGTACCAGCTGGGAACCTTCTCCGCCTTCCTGGAGCTTCTCAACATGGAGATTGAGTGAGAGGACTGCCCACCTCTCCCTCCTTGTCCTCTTCTTCACTGCATTCTTTCTTCTCACCCCTCCACTTCTTCGACTTGATGCCCTTGGAGGTCTTTCCCAACCAGAATGATTCTGTGATTCTCTGCTTTCTCTCCTTTTCTTCCATTCAGTTTGCTCTCCTCCTCTTCATCTTCTTCCTCCCCACTTTCCTCACCTTCTTCTTCCATCCTCCTCTTTCTCTTCTACCTCCACTTTCTCCTCATCTTCTCACCTTCCTCCTTTTCATCTTATTTCTCCTCACCCTTTTCCTCTTCCTCTTTTTTCTTCTCATCCTCCTGCTCCTCCTCTTCATTTTTCTCCTCATCCTTCTCACCTTCCTCCTTTTCATCTTCCTTCTCCCTATCTCCTCACCCTTTTCTCCTCATCCTCCTCCTCTTCATCTTCTTTCACCCCATCCTCCTCACACTCTTCTTCAACCCTCTTCACCCTCCTCTTCATCCTCTTTCTCCCCATCCTCCTCCTCCTCCCCGGGAGGTGCCACAGCCGTGTCACATGCCCTGGTGTGGCATTCCCAGCGCTGCAGC